CTCGCTTGGGTGTCGGTGGTTCTCAAAGTGTAGTGTGCGTCGGAATGACTTAAAGAGCTTGCAGAAACATTGTTCAGCCACTGGCTGAGTTTCGGATTCACCCGGGCTGGTCTGGGGCCTGAGAACTTGCATTCTTAACTTCGTGGCTAATGCTGAGGAGTTTGGTCCAGAACTACACGGGGAGATTCGCTGGTCTAGATGAATTTCAGGAGAGATATATTTCTTTTCTTTTTTTAAAAAAAGATTTTATTTATTTATTCATAAGAGACAGAGAGACAGAGAGAGAGAGAGAGAGAGAGAGGCAGAGGGAGAAGCAGGCTCCCCACTGAGCAGGGAGCCCAATGCGGGACTCAATCCCAGGACCCTGGGATCATGACCTGAGCCGAAGGCAGACGCTTAACCATCTGAGCCACCCAGGCGCCCAAGAGATATATTTCTGACATAAAACCAGTAATAGTTTAACATAGTATTTGTTACATAGACATGTTTTCATAAGAAGAGATTATGATTTCACCCATATTTCCAAAACTAGATTTGAGGGTTTTCAAATGTTGGCAATGGTGAATAAAGGAGGTTTTAAAATAGCATACTCGTTTTGGTCTAATAAAAACATTTTAATATTAATTGCTTTTCAAATGTCACTTGTATTTTTAATTAGTATTTTTGATTAAACAAAATGCTGTTCATTTTCATATGCCAAGATTTAAGGTCTTTATATACATCTATAGCTAGAACTTGAGTTATTTCATCTGTGACCTGAATATTTTATTTTTATGAATGAATTCCCTGCTCATGTCAGAGGTCCTTAAGACAACAAATTAGTAAAACTTTCAGAACAGATTGCTTATACTATTTTGACTCAACTTGTTTCACACTTCCCTTCATACATACAGACCAGGATTTCCCTGTTTTGAAGTCCAGTCAAATATAAGCAATTCCTGGGATCGAATTAAAAAGATGTGAACTCGAGAGTAACTACTGAATATAGGGGTCAATAATCTGATCTGCACAGATTGATTCCCTGATAGATAGATAGATAGATAGATAGATAGATAGATATAGATATATGTAATTCACTTAATTCTCACAACAAATTTATTATTCCAATCTCACGAATAAGGAAAATGGGACTGAGCCAAAAAATGATTTGCCCAGGCAGGTAACAACATACAGAAAGAGGCACTTCTAGGATCTGAGCCTGAGCTTTCTGATGCCTGGTTGAGGAATCTTCCAACAATTCTGTTTCTATTTAAAGAGAAATCAAAGAAGGTAAGGAAAAGTCGTTATTGTTGTGATTATTTTTGTAAACTACTGACAATATAATAATTTTACACGAGTGAATTCTGAGTGCTAATTGGGGGAAATTGATTCCAACTCAGGATTAAATCGTTTTTTGGGAGATTTCTGTTTTAGTCAATGACAGGGATTAGGAATCTTTTTTGCCTTTTAAAAACTATAAAACCTTTTGCAAAGGTTTGATGTTATGGATACTTTTTATTGAAAGTCTACATGTGCACAAATATATAGCATTTTATAGTTTCCAGGGAATTCACAGAACCCCCTGAAGATTTTCTTTCTTTCTTTTTTTTTTTTTTTAAAGATTTTATTTATTTATTTGACAGAGAGAGACACAGCGAGAGAGGGAACACAAGCAGGGGGAGTGGGAGAGGGAGAAGCAGGCTTCCTGCCGAGCAGGGAGCCCGATGCGGGGCTCAATCCCAGGACCCTGGGGTCATGACCCGAGACGAAGGCAGAGGCTTAACGACTGAGCCACCCAGGCGCCCCCCGCCAAGATTTTCTTGAACCTCAGAGTCTACTTACAATAAAACACAAGCCACTATTCTGGGATACACAGTCCAAGGGTGCAGTAGGGGTGGCAGGTATCTATTGAGTGCCACATAGAAATTAAAAGCAACTGCTTGGGTTTTTTTTCTTTGGAGGTAAAGATATTAAAATCTATTTAACAACCAGTTTATAAACTTAATGAGGTGAGCGAAATGATAAGTAAAGTCTAATTTATGAATATTGGGATAGACTCCGTTTGAGAGAGAAAAGAATAGAGGAAAAGACAAGCATGAAAGGGAAGGTGAGAGAGAGTGAAAAAAGGGATGGGGACAGTTACGGGGGCAGAATGGAAGTGGGGAGACACATGGAAACGATAAGATGGAATGAGAGAGAATGGCTCTCAGATCCAGAGAGCTGAATAAAGACTGGGAGGGAGAAAAAGTCAAAGAGGTGGAAAAAGAAGAAACCATGATGGGTGGATACATCTCTAACCCGACTTTTATTCCGATTGGTATTGTTTTCACAAGAGTTAAGTCCATCCTTGTCACCAGAACTCAAATTCTAAGTATAAAGGAATAGGCCTTAATATTTTCTCTGTTATATTCTCTCTATTAAATTTCACCAAGATAATTAATCAGGATAACTAACATAATTAAGGTGCAAATCTACAAATCTACACGGTTTACCTTCCCCCCCTAATAAACTATAATTACATTTTCAGGAGATGTGGGAAAACTTACCCACCTCCTGACTATCCCATAATCAATAGGATACACGTGCACCTACCGACCCACACACAGGCACACACACATCTACTTGTATGAACATGTAACTACAAAAGCAAGCATATGGAAAAATATCATTCCTTCAAATATGAGCTGCTGTTTCAATAAGTAAATAGACAAACCATGGTTGTTCCTAGAGATATTTAAATTGTTTAACTAACAGGACTTCCTAAAGTCACCACGTGGGGACTCTGAGTCACTGAGAGTTAATATCAATGCTTGTGGGGAAAGCAATGATAATAGCACCCGTGGTAGAATTTGGAGAAGAGGCTGCAGTCACTGCCTTCCCTCTGCGCAAGCCCCTGGCAGTGTGCCTTTGCAGCCCCTCTTAAGCAGGGGTAGGGGCCCCTTTGACCCCTTGAAACATGGCCGACCTTGTGACTCGCTTCGACAAGGACGTGGGGCGAGTGCGCCATTTTTGAGCCTAGGTGTCAAGAGGCCTTGTACGCTTCCAGTTCACTCCTGGGTGCCATGTCTCTACTGCGAGAACAAGCTTGGCTTGACCTGCGGGAGGACCACTCTGGAGCTGAGTCACTCTGGTTATCTCAGCCGAGGTCCCAGGCATGACGACAAAGCTGATCCACAGATAACCGCAGATGCCTGAGAAAGTCCAACTGAGCTGAGTTGTGGACCCACCGAATGGCCAGCGAAATAGATGATTACTTCTTATGTCACTAAGTTTGTAATAATAACAGCTCACTGATACACAACTTAACATTTACTGAATGCTAATTAGGTGTCAAGTACTGGGCTGAGCATCTTAGATACAGGATCTCATTGAATCTTTTGAAGACTGGGTGGTCACAGATCCTTTTATTATTCTCATTTCACAGAGCAGAAAACAGCCATTTTAACCCTCTTCATAGCCAGAACTGAAGTCCAGATCTCCCGAGCCTGATCTCCACATCTGAATTTGCTGGATGGTAAATCCTGAGAAACTTGAGTAACTAAGTATCACGGTGAGGAGTGTTACTTTTGTTACTTGGTTTCTTTAAATTTAGCACTCAAGCAGGAACTCCCAAGCTTTTTTTTCACTGAGAAACTACTTTTGGTGGCAAATTTCCTGTCGCACGAAGTTTTTTCCTGCTTCCTGCCCACATTTCCACTGGTGGGAAGCCCTGAAGCCACTTTCTCTATCTGAACTGCTCGCAGCTTGAGAGTGGCTGGCAGTGGGCAGAACACTGTTTTCTTTTCTTCTTCTTTTTTTAATTTGTTCAGTATTCAGGTATTTTAACAAGATAGAGTATATATTTTTATATTACATATAAAAATTTATATTTATATATACTTGTATCTAATATATATTCAATGATATTCACGCATATATATTTAAAAATATATTTTTAAAGAAGAAAACACATAGGTATAGCCATCCAAATCAAAGGCAATTTTAGCTTAAGCTCACCAGTTTAGAAAGTGTGTTTTGAGTTAACCTCCACCATCTAGAGACAATGTTCCAAACATTGAAGAGTTAACTCCTTCAAAGTCGTGCCTTAAAAAGTCTCTAATACTTCAGGGAGTGAAGACATCAAGTCCTCCTCAATGTATTATTTAGACAGCACTTCAAATCGTCATGCATGTTTTTGTCCTCCAAAAATAGTACCTTATTTCTCCATGAGTGAGAAATCTTATTATATTTACATTATTAACCGAAGCCCATTTTCCTAGTGAGTCAAATCCAGCCAACTGAAGTTCTTTTATACATTTGTGTTTTTGAGGCTTCAGAAATGTGAACAAAATTCTAACCCAAAGCCAAGTTTTCCAGATATTCTTGCTGGCTGGAAGCCCTACTTGTTGGCTTTGCAAGATTATAAATATGATTGTTGGTTAAGTAATAGGTAGGGAGGACTTAATTGTGTGTCCTTTTCTAGGAGGTCTCTTTTGCCCTTCAGAACTGTAGTCAGCAAAAGATGAGAGAGGGCAATAGCCGTTAACACTTAACTAGCACTTGCTGTATGCCTCTTTCTTCTAATCTCTTACATACAATCTTCCCAAATGCAAAGGGGCAGTTTCCAAACCCTTTCCTAACATGAGAAAACGGAGGCAAAGGGAGGCTAGAACACATTCGCAAGGCTACATCATTGGTTATCGTTGTACCCGGGTTCGAACCCGGCAGTGCGGCTCCAGAGCCCATATTCTCAGTCCCTACACCCTCCTGCCGGTAAGATGCTCGCTGGACCGGTGTGCGGGATAAAAAACTATGTGCACAATCACCACTGTCCTGAAATACTGGCTGTGAGACCAACACGTCGAAAAGAACGGATGTTTCAAGCTAATAAAAGAAATGTGAGACTTCCTTAAGTGACGTCTATTTTGTATTTCAGCTGAGTTTTCTCTTCCCCCTGTCCTCCCTGGGAGATGTGTCAGCGACTTCCCCTCGCTGCGTCCGCCCCGGGTCCGGCGGTGAGCACGGGCGGGCGCTCCACTCACCGCAGTCGTCCTCGTCAGCCCGGTTGCCGCAGTCGTCCACTCCGTTGCAGTGAAGTAGCTGAGGCAGGCACTTGGTGATATTCCCGCAGGGGAAATAGCCGAGGGAACACTCGACATCCTGCCCGCTCCCAGGAACCACTGATGAAGAACGAGGAGAGAAGGTTAATAAAAAAACATTTCCAAAAGTGGTTTTCTCCCAGTATCCCAAAACAGGCTCTCATTCCGGCAGGTATAGATGGGAGCCTCACCTTGCTCACTAGCCTGAGGCCAGCTCTTTTCCAAGAACCTCCATGCTATGGGGACGTTCTTTTCCATGTTCCCAGAAGATGCCAGGAATCTCCTTTCTTTGCCTTTTCTCATGTTGTTTCCCACGTGGAATGTCACAGATAACCGTCCCCCTGCGGTTGGTTGTGGGAGCAGGACCGGGGGGCGGGGGGTGGCGTCCGCCCTGCTCCCACAACCAACCCTTCTTTTTCTATGAAATGTCTGCCATACTTTAGAGTTTAACTCAGTTCCTTTCTTCTCTTTCAAAAACCTCTCAGCCAATCATTTAAAAAATCAGGAATTTATTGCGTTCTCAGAATCAAGGTTGGTCTGGTACTAGAGGAAGAACACATAGAGACCATCAGGAAAGTACATGCACCCGCTCACTCACAGGTTGGAGAGTTCCTATGTGCGAGGCTTTGTGCAAGATTTTGTGCAAACTGCACTGAATGAAATAAAGTTCCTGCCCTTTTCAGATGGGCTTTTTTCACTTAGTAACATGCATTTAAAGATCCTCTATGTCTTTTTATGGCTTAATAACTAATTTCTTTTTAGTACTGAATAATATTCCAATTCCATTGTCTGAATGTACCCACAGAAGGACATCTGTAGGTTGCACCCAGATTTTGGCAGTTATGAATAAAGTTGCTATAAAAATCCACATGCAGGTTTTTGTGTGGATATAAAGTAACTATGCCACTTTATAACCTCAGATTTATATAAACTTTGAAGATTACTGGGGACTCCCAAATGTAATTCTGTTGCTTATTATCCTTATCAAGTTTGTACCTGCTTGGAACTTTCTCGAATATTGTCAATTATAAGAAATAAGAACAGAATAGCTTGAACTGTCAATAGCATTTATTTTGTAAAAATGTATTTGTAATCTGTCATCAAGACATGAAAAGAATAAAAGTGGCTATTTTCTTTGTAAAGATGCCGCAGGACATTTAATAACAGGGCAAGTGACATTTTTATAGAGAAGAAATCTAGCTATGCCAGGTTTTGGCTGTACTTAGTTTTTCAGAGCACGTCATTTGTTGAAGGAAATGGTTAAATCTATGTAATAATGAGCTATGTTGTAAATAGTACTTTCACTTGTGAAATTATTTTAAAATTATCAATATTTTTTCAACAAACTGATTAAAATTAAGTCAAAGGATTTGTGTACCACTGGATGTCACTGGTAGAACATCATACATTTCAGAGACTTCAAGTACATAAAATAAGGTTAATTTGTGTTGATACTGACTTTTGATATCTTTATTAATGTCTTAAGAACAAAATTTAAAATTTAAGGGTTTCAGGGATGCCTGGCTGGGTCAGTCCATAGAGCATGAGACTCTTGATCTCGGGTTCATGTGTTTGAGCCCCACATTAGGTGTGCAGCTTACTTAAAAAAAATAAAAATCAGGGGTTTCAGAAAAATTCTTTGATGAATTGTCAGCCTTCGGCCACAGTTACTGTTAGAAGATGTTTTAACTAGACATACCTGCCTGTGTTTTCATGCTGCTGTTTTGAAAATTCTTCCAGAGGAACTTATTTTTATGGATATTATGCTCTTATGTCCTATCTTTTAAGTTTATCTTTAGAAGCAGATACAGCTCTTCAATGATTGTGCCATGAAATTAACTCCACGTTTTTATAACATTATGATTCAAAGATATATTTAAAGTCTTAAATAGTGACATTGGGCGCCTGGGTGGCTCAGTTGGTTAAGCGACTGTCTTTGGCTCAGGTCATGATCCTGGAGTCCCGGGATCGAGTCCCGCATCGGGCTCCCTGCTCAGCAGGGAGTCTGCTTCTCCCTCTGACCTTCCCCACTCTCATGTGCTCTCTGTCTCTCTCATTCTTTCTCTTTCAAATAAATAAATAAATAAATCTTTAAAAAAATAAAGTCTTAAATAGTGATATTTTAAAAATAACTTTATTTTGAGGTGGTATCAAACTTAAAGTTTCAAATATAGTATAAAGAATGAATCCCCCCCCCCAAATCATTTGAGAATAAGTTTCCGATCAGATGCTCCATCACACCTAAAAATTTTGGTTGTGTTTTTTTCTATAAGCAAGGGCATTCTCCTACATAACCAAGCTAGAACCATCAAAATAAGGAAATTAACATTGATGCCTTACTACCATGTCAACCTCAGAATCCGTTCATGTTTCACATATTGCTCAAAAGTCCTTTATAGTAAAAGAATCTAGTTCATAATCCTTGCGTTTAATTGTCACATTTCTTTAGTTTCCTTCAATCTATAGTTTCTTAGTCTTTCTTTATCTTTTATGACCTCGACACTTATGAAGATTGCAAGTTGAACATTTTGTAGAATGTCCCTAAATTTTGGTTGTATGATATTTCATCAAAATTAGATTTACATTATGCACCTTTGGCAAGAAATTCACAGAAGTGATGCTCATTTCAGCCTGTTATGCAAGATTTTGATTTGTCCCATTACTGATGATGATCACTTTGGTCACTTGGTTAAGGTGATGTCTCCAAAACTCCTCCACTGTAAAGTTAGCTTTTGTAATTAACGAGCATTTTGTAGGGGGGATTCCAATTCCCAGCCAACACTAGAAGGTTCAGTCTATTTTTTTCCCTTTATGTATCTCTAACTCCCTTCTCTGACAATGAGAAACTGCTTTCTGTTATCCTTAATATAGTTATTATCTTGACAGATCCTCTTCCTGCATGGTCGCCCTCCTCACCCCCATTCAGTTCTGACTCCTGGTAATGGGCATTTTTCCTATATGAGCACTCTCCTTGCCCTGTTAGAAACCTGATACACGATACCAGACACCAGCTCCCTCCGTGGACACCTCCTCACCCCAGCCTGGCCCCAAAATTCCTCTCTGGGCTAGCACAGCTCCTCTGTCTCGCTCAGCACAGAAGGATACCTTTCTCTGATCACCAAATAGCTTTAGGGCTCCATGATAGAATGATTAGAGTAAGAGGCCAGTATAAGATGGTTATCAGAGAATTTTGCAGTTGAAGGGGATCATATTATGCCACCCCAAAATATGCCACTTTGGCCTAAGTATTAAGACAGTTAAAGACAGTTAAAAACAAACAAACAAACACAGGGAGGGCTCTCTGCCCTCCACCATCAGTCTAAAAGCAGGGCAAAAATTTCCCTTTTTGAAGGTGTCTTCTTCCACCTTCCATATAAGGAGGAGAACAACTCTTGTCACTGGAGATGGAAAGTTGGCACCAAGGTGAGTCTGCACAAACAAACCTTACTAAAATAACCTTTTTCTTCCAACTCGGGACTAAAATCTTAATAATAAAAATTTTTTGGAGGCAAAGTTCCTAGTGGTTTATCATTAATGGAATAAAACTTAGCTTTTACTTTTTGACAGACCTTGACAGAAATGCACAAGCACTTACAATTTTGTCTAGGGAACTCATGAAAATGCCAACTCGAAGGTGAAATTATAACCCTTATTGTGAAACAACCTTAAATGTTAATATGGAACATCTTAATATGGTTGCTCTGAAGTCAATGCCTAAGGGCATCTCTGTTCAGTTAAATCTAAAATAAAGTAGGTGAGTGTAATTGGTACATTTCATTAAAATGTTTATCGTGTTTCTGTTCAGCTATGACTCGTGTAAGCACTAAGGTAAGTGTGTCATTGGATTCTACAACTTATTTCCCGCATTTGAAATCCTTTTTATGATCTCTGGAAAATATACAATATTCTATTTTCTTAGATAATTACAGCATCAAGACTATAGAGATAGTTTACTAAATACCTTGTTAGGAAGTAAAATAAACACACATGTGTGCACACACATGCATGCACATGCGCACACAAACTTTCCCTACATTCAGTCCTTTTATTTTATTTTAATATTTTATTTTTTTAAATATTTTATTTATTTACTTGAAAGAGAGAAAAAGTGCACAGAGGGAGAGGGAGAGGGAGAAGCAGACTCCCTTCTTAGCAGGGAGTCTGACACGGGGCTCAATCCCAGGACCTTGAGATCATGACCTGAGCTGAAGGCAGATGCTTAATCGACTGAGCCATCCAGGCGCCCACAGCCCATTTATTTTAAAAGATAATTTCTATCTTAAATGATGACTGCCGATAACTATTTAAGATATATTTTTTAAAGATTTATTTATTTGTCAGAGAGAGGGAGAGAGAGCACGTGCATGCGCACAAACAGGAGGCGGGTGGGAGGCAGAAGGAGAAGCAGGTTCCCCGCTGAGCCAGGAGCCCAGTGTAGGGCTTGATCCCAGGACCCCGGGATCATGACCTGAGCCTAAGGCAGACGCTTAACTGACTGAGCCACCCAGGTGTCCCACTATTTAAGATATTTAAAAACAAAACAAAAATATCAGTCACAGCAGAGGTTTGTTAGATACATGGGGCAATTTCGGAACTATATATTCACATATGTATGTTGAACAATAGTCTGTATAGTTTGATCTGATTTATATAAAATAAAGGCGATATAATACTTGTGTTTATAAAATGCTGATGTATTCACAACAAACCGTCAACAGTGGTCGTCTTTGGGAAGTGGGACCAGTAATTGCAGGACAAAGGGGAGATTTTACTCTGCAGTTTATATCTTCAAGAAAATTTGGACTTGTTTTTTAAAAGCGAGTACTGCTTTAATAATAATAAAATAATCTGAGGTTATTTACAAGCAGTTCAAATGTGTGAAAATTTGGTTTCTTAGCTATAGATTAAAAAATCTCACTTGTAATAGTAGTTAGCTCTCTTTAGACCTTTTGAAACAAGGTAATGTAAGGTCAGTGGGTCTCAAACAGGAATGATTTTTCCTTGTACCCCAGGGATCAAATGGCAAAGTCTGGAGACATTTTTTATTGGCATGACAGGGAGAGGGGAGGGCTGCTGTTGGCATCTAAGAAGTAGAGTCCAGGGATGCTGGTAAACATCTCACAATGCATAGGAAGGCTCCCCCAAACAAAGA